AATGGCCAATTTCCCACAGGGGGGAGGTATTATATTTGGGGGAAAAAAGCATTTTGGGGGGGGGGGGGGGGGGGGGGAGGGTACTCAGAGGAAGGGGCGGGCGTGCCAATCGTTTGGTCTGGGCACGAACGGAACAGCCCTCTGGAATATTTCTAATATTTCTTGTACTCTGGAAGTATCGCTATTGGTGTTGGGTAGTTCGCCCTACGGCCACGGAAGGCATCCGTCCGCGTCAGTTGCACCGGGATGTCGGAAGGTTCTGATTGGAGATCGAAGCGGTGGTTTTGATGCCAAGACGCCATCCATCGCGACCCTCTGTTTGTCCTGAAACTCTTCCTCCTCTGTCGCGGCACGAACAGTCCTCGACGAGGAGAAGAGCAAGGAGCTGAAGCTGGGTCTGGTGCCGGCGCTCGGGCGGCCCTACGAGGACCTGTGGGCGGAGGAGAGCTACGTGGAGTCGCTGGCGAGCCGGTCGTGGTCGTCCCTGGCGAGGGACTCGTCGCAGCACGTGGGTCTTTTGTGGCTGTTTGTTTATTTAGTGCTGGTATCGATCGGCCGTGCCGCCAGGGGGGAGGGGCACCAGTCTTTTGTGTGGGTAGCGTTTGTGAGGGCTGCTGTAGCTTTCGTTGCGGTTTCTATTGGTGCTGTTATCGATCGACTGCGCCGCCAGGGTGGACACCAGTCTTGTGGCTGCATGAGGGCTAGCTTTCGTCGTTGCCATGCATACGTGTTTTTTCTTTTCTGGTCTTTAGTTGTTGTCGTCGTCATTATCGTTGGCCGGTTTCGTTTTGTTCCCCCGGCGGCGGCGTGTTTCGCGCCTGCTTGATATATCCCCCAACACCATTTTTTGTTTATTGAGTTGAGAATCACCTCTCCCTTTGCATTTTGTTTGTTTCCACGCGGGAGATAGACTGGTGTGACCGACCAATCCTACAGCACATAGTAGAACACCTTTTGCTCGTGAGTAATGCTCCGCTGTTGAACCGTCCTCCTCCAAAACCGTTGTTCAGGCGGGTGCCTCCACATCAGGAGCATCGGCGGCGGCGGCGGGAGCGGGAACAGACACGGGAGCAGACGCCGCTGCGGCGAAGGCGGGGGGGGGGGGAGGCTCCGCGGAGGGAGAAAGGGGCAGCCTCCGGGCGGGCGGGCGAAAAAACAGCGGCGGCGGATTCGGCTCCTTCAGCGGAGCGGCGGCGCTGCTTCTTCACGGTTCGTCGCCATTGGCAGGTGGCGATGGGGGGGCGGACGGGGCGGACGCCGTTGTGGGTTCCTGCTTGCCGATGGCGAGGGACTGGACGGAGGTGGTACCGTCGCACGACGAGGCTAGCTTCCGGCGGTGCCTAGCGGAGAGCAGGTCGAGGGGGGGCGTTTTTGCGGGGAGGAGGGGGTTTTACTTGCAGAGGGGCGGCGATATCGACTGGGAGGCGGAGGAGGTGGAGAGGGAGAAAGAGAGGAGGAGGGCCGCGGCAGGCTTGGAGGTGAGCGAGTGCCGTGTGATGATTGGTTGGGGGCGGTGCTGTGCGTACAGTCTCTTGTCGCCTACCGGGCGCTCAACTGTTGATTCAGTTATTCGTGTGGGTGAAAGACGTTTTGTGCTGTTTTTTTTTTAGCTGGTGTTTGTGCGTGTATCGTAGGCTCTCTCGCCTCCCGGGCGCTCAACAGCAATTCAGCTTTGCGTGTGGGTGGAAGACGTTATTCTTTCCATATTTATTTAGCTGGTGTAATATGCGTGAACGCGCTCTCTCTCGCCTGCGGGGCGCTCAACAGTTTTTGCTGGGAGTGAAAAACTTTTTTTTTGTTTTTCCCGCTTTCTTTTTTGCTGTGGGTGGCATCTCGAGAAACTAGGCTCCGATGCGTCCGGTCTAACTGAGACGGGGCCTCGGAAAAGCTTGGTTCGGTGCCGCGTGTGTAGGGTGCAAGTGTGCACAGCGTAGGTTACGGGGTAGGTGTCCGCGCGACGGTTGTCCCTCGAAGGGCTTGCTCTTGCGTGTCCGGTGGGAGACGCGGGGTTGACCGGTAATCCGGGGCCATCGTTTATCGCTCTGAGTTTTCTTTCGGCGGTCGTTTTTCGTCTCGGGCGTGCGTGCTGTGTGTGTGACAATCTGCTAAGCTCTGTGTGCCGATCGCTGCTGCTTGTTTGGACGCCCACCGCAGCTCGGCGGTAGTGTCGTTGGTTTGTTGTCTTGCTTGTGCGGTGTGAAGGAAGCGGGGCGTTGGGGTTGATACATATCGGGCACGCTCCCCCCCCCGGTTGTCCGGTCAAGGGGTGAAACTGTTCGATCTCTTGATCAAGACACAGTACATAAGATTGTCTCAATGCCTCCGTTTCGCCTGTAGATCCTTGTCCTGGCGTATTGCGTTTGTGCGTGTGCCGGGGTTGTTTCTCGTACCGATGTCTCTTTTTTTGCTTGAATGTTAGTCGTGTTTTTTTTTTGTTTTGTGTGAATGGGTGATGCTGTTGCACTACAGCAGCACAGTAGTATTGTTTTCGATCGTTGTTCGTGTGCGTCGTGTCATTGTGGGTGCTGTCCTCACGGCTTGAGCCTGCGTCGTGTGCCGTCACCGACGTGTTGCCCCCCTTCCACCACCTTGCTTGATGATTCTCCGTCCCCCCTGTGTTGTCTTTCGCCCTTTTGTTCCTGCTGTGCGCTGCGCTCCCACGCGTCGTGTGCGCCATGTTAGGCGCCACTACCACCCGACCTTGGGAATAAAGGAGCGAACGGGAGCTCGCGTAGTCGAAGCCTTCCGGGCACGAAATCAACAACAAGAACGCCATCGGGTGAGATACCACGGGTCGTAGCAGCGGTAGTCTACACTACTCGTGGCAATATTTTTTAGGTTGGCATTCATTGCACAGCAGTCGGGGTCCGTCAATAAGCGCGGTGTAGTGACAGTCTCCCTCGACCTCTCTATTGATGGGGTGGTAGTACACAGTAGCACCAAACAATGACGCGACCACCTCCATTTCATTGAGCCCCCCGCCCGAGTCATCCTTGTGAAATGTAGCCTGGGCCGGCGAAAACCCGGCATATCACTCTTCCGTCCCGGCATTGTAGGGATGCGAGGCTAATGGCCTAATGACTACGGCATGCGTTTACACCCCCTACCTGCCTCAAAAGGCTCCCTTGTCGAGATCGACGAGGGCGTCATTGTCGCGAAAGCTTTCCGCTCGAGGGGCGAGAAGGACAGGGCAGCGGCGGCGGCGGCGGCGGCGGCGGCGACGGCGGCGACGGCGGCAGACATTAACACCAAGAACGCTCCTCAGCACTCGCGGCCGCCGCGGAAGGCCAAGCGCTGCGCCGCTTCTCGCACGGAGATAGGAGCTGGCCCCGGCGCTGCGCCCGCCGTAGCCGAGTGCCCCTCAAGAACAGGAGCGGGGGCCCCGGGGTACTCTCCCGTTGTTGGTTGCGGGGGTTCCTCCGCTGCCGCGGGGACCCCGCGGGCCGCTTGGCCTGCGAAGGACGGGAATCGTGCGGTGACGTCCGGGGGCGACGGAGGGGCGGTGGCTGTCAAGAAGAGGACGAGCGTGAGGCTGAGGGGAGGGGCCGCCGCGGCCACAGCGGAGCCTCCTCCCTCGGCTGTTGCTGCTGCTGATGCTGATGCCGCTTTTTCCGGTGGCCAGTGCCACAGGCAGGAAGAAGAGGGGCAGGAGGAGGACATTGACGAGGTGTCCTGGGAACTGAGACGGCTCGCCAGGGACGAGGTCAAGGTTAACGCCAAGAATCTCTACGCTCTCTCCGAGCTAGGAGGTGCGTTGTAGAAGCTTGTGGTGCGAAGCCGGGTGTGGGCGAGGTTGTAGATGTACTCATATGGCACGAGAGGGGGTGGGGGGGTGATGGGCGTAGCAGTACCATGTGGCGTGCCCCAATCCTATTACCTTTTAATACATGTCCCTTACGAGACAGGGCGCTCGTACCGCTCGGTATGGGATGCCGCCAACATTCTGGCACTCTCGAAACCTGTCTACCGTGTTTGGATGTAGGAGAAACGATTGCTGATCTTGTCTCCGTCCCCATCGTTCAACCTAAGGTGTTCTTGCTGATGTTGTCCCCCACCCTTTTCATTCGGCCGGAGGGCAGGTCCGGTCGTGGCTTCCTCTTCTTGCCTGGAAAAGTCTGCATTCCAGAAAATATTCAGAGCGTTTCCGCTATTCAGTGATGTAGCGGTACATGCATGTTTACATCAGATACTTAGGTCACTTCGTATTCGTTGCTTGAGACCTGGTAATATCTGAACCCCGTGTTTCCATTTGTGTTTGTGTATTTTGTTTAAGAAATGTGTTCGGGTTGCCGCTATGCCGTATGGACTGTGTTTTGTCGACGTGAGCAGCCTACTGTCGGCAGGAGCGGAAGGTGTACCAGAGCGTGTTCGACCGCGACGAGTGGGCGAAGGATGTCCTCAGTAACGCGCTCCGCCTCAGCGAAGTGGGCAAGACCGTCGACCTGAAGGGGAAGGTGTGTGTGCGTGCGTGTTTTCTTCCTTAGCATCGACCGCGCTAACCGGCTGGCCAATGGAAAGACGAGGGTGTGTGTGTGTTCTCGGGGGAGGCAACAAGCCGTCTAGTCGCATGGGCCGCGTTCGCGGTATTGTTGTTGTGGTGGGGGTGGGTGTTACGTTCTAAACTTGAACTTTCGAGGAAAAATAATCGTCTGCCGGGCTTTGGTGTCCGTGGGATGTTTTCTCTCACGATCCACATTTTCTGAAACGATCCCCCCCACCTCTCAACTCATGCCCAATCAAAACCAGCGGGCAAAGCCCCGTGGCGTCGGACTCGCGGACGACTTCCCCTATCACGACCCGACCCAGCTCCCCGTCCTCGAGGCGCTGCGGAAGCAGACGGTGGCCTACCAGCACCACCAGCGCAACCAGGAGGAGATGGGGGGCTTCGGGCTGGCGGAGATTGAGCAGGAGCGTGCTAGGCGGGAGAAGGTGGCCAACGAGGCTACGGCGGTCGCGGAAGCGAAAATGAAGTAAGTCTGTGGTTGTTGTTGTTATTGTTGTTGTTGTCAGTGTTGTTGTTGTTGGCCTTGGTGTTGGCATTGTCTCTACACGAACGAACCGGTCTGAGCTCCGCCTTTGGCACCGTCACTTCCGTCCTATTCTGAGCGAAATCTCACAACAGCGAACAAAGTAACATAAAGAGCGTACGAGTAACAATGCCCCAACATCCCACGACAAACCAACAGGGACTGGGAGCACGCGCGGCTGGCGGTAGGCCGGAAGGGGCAAACCGGGAGGGGACGCGGCATCCCCATCCCCGGGGGCGTGGCGCACCCGTTCCTCCTCGACAAGAAGACGGCCGACTTCCTGTACTCGGTAGGGACGGGCGACGAGGTGGAGGTTAAGGACGAGTGGGACGTCTGGTGCCGGGCGAAGGTGGTTGCTGTTCGCGGGGAGGGGGGATGGGTGAGTGGTCCGGGAAGGGGGGCACCGCTATGTCCGTGCAGTGTGTCGGGGGGTGTACTCACAGCTGTGTACGCCGTAGTCGTTGGACCCTTCGCGGGGTGGGGTGACCGACTAACCTCGCTGCGGAGTGAATTTCTGGTCCGTGGAGGAGAATGGTGGAAACTGTTCTACGCACGAGAAACTAGCGCGCCGGATCGATCGGCGATATAGGTGTCTTTGTTATCGCTCTTGACGACGACGGCGCTCACTTATTGAAATGATCCCGGAAAATGAAAAACAATAACGGAGCCAGACCACCGCGTCCAAGAAAGGGAGGAAGCACGTTACGAAACCGGACCATCGGTTAATAAAATGACCAGGACAAACACGGGGCCGAATGAATACGTTCGATGTCCTGGCGTTCCGCACTTGGTGCATTGCCCACCCCCCCCCCCCCCATTAGATGGGATGCCCAAATAACCCATGACATGTCTGGGTTGGCACATCAAACGCAAGGATAGTGACACTACCAGCTCTGGTTCATCCTTGCGAAACGTGCGTGGGCTGCGCCGGCGAAATCGCTCCGTCCGGCATCGTGTAGGGATTCGAGGTCATTCGTCTAACGACTACACCATGCGTTTTACATGAGTATACCCCCCCCCCTCGTGTGTGGGATATCTAATCTCTCGTCGTGGCTTCTTTTTCGACACAGGACCCCAAGAAGGACACGAACGTGCTTCGTGCTGTGAAGGTCAGCTTCGAAGGCAGTGGTCCCGCGATGGATGCTTGGTGTTCGGTTGATGGAGGCATGGTGGCTAAGCCCGGGACTCATCTTCCTCTTGTAAGTGTCTCGCATGTATCGGTGGTGGTGGTTGTGTTTTTTGTTCCCACTCGTGATTTCGAGGCATTTTTTTTCGTCGCAATTTTGGTGTTGTTGTTGTGGCAATCTAACTTGTGTGGTTGGGTGATGGAGTGCGCTCGGGCTATTTTGTAGAGTATAGTATTGTCTGCTGTCGTCGTCAATCGATGTACTAGCGCTGTCTCCTCCTGTTGTCTCACCTTTTTTGTCTTGCCGTTTTTGTTGCAATCCTTCTTGCACTGCGCAGTCCAAGCGACAGCGTGCCCTGGCGGCCAGAAAGGCCAGCGTGGCTGCGGCTGCGGCGGCGGCGGCGGCCTCGTCGAGGGCGGGCGCCAAGCCAATCAGAATCCGCGCGTTTCACGGCCCCCGGCCCCCACCGGGCAAGGACTCGACAGCAGCGGTCTCGTCAAACGGCGCCGCTAACGGGAGCGCAAGCGCAGACTCCGAAAAGGTTGACGTCCAAGGTGGTGCTGCAGCCGCTAGCGCAAAGCGCAAACGGACAGGGTCATCGGACGACCGTCGACAAGGCAAACGGCCGGCAGCCGCCGGCGAGGGTTTTGGAGGAGGGGCGGGGTGCGTGGACGGGGAAACGCCGGCGGTGCCGGCGGCGGCGACGGCGGGTATGGTTCCTAGGTGTGCGCTGCGTGCAAGGGCTGGAAGCGACAGCGGGAACGAGAGCAGCAGCAGCACCAGTAGCGACAGCAGCAGCAGCAGTGGGTACAACGAAGTTAACGCGACAGGAAGGCCACGGAAGACGGCGGCGAGCTTCCGTCAGGCACGAAGGGCGAGCAGCAGCAGCGGCAGTAGTGGTAGCGGCGGGGTTGGCGGCAGCGGCGTCGGTGGGCTTGATACAATGGCTACTCGCTTAAGAGGCACGGGCGACGGGGGTGGCAGCGTGAAAGCAGCAGCGGCAGCAGGAGAGGCGGTATCGAAGGAAGCAGGCATAGCTCGGGACAGTAGAGTGGGCAGGAGAGGCCGTGGCGGAGCGGTCGTCCAACAGCGCAAAACGGCGCGGAATGCTGCTCACCACAACAGCAGCAGCCACTCTTCCCCATCGGACCCCTTGTCCTCTCGCCGCACGATGCCTCTCGGCCGGGGCCCGTCGCCGCCCGGCGACGTCGTCGTCCCGAACGGAAGCGTGCCGGCAGCAGTAGTTGCCGCTTCTCCTTCTCCCTCGTCGCCTTCTCCGTTCGGCCGGAGGAGTAGTGGAAGAGTCGCCGGTCTTTCGAACGGTACCGGGGTCGGGGGGGGCACAGCCAAGGACCTCCGGTCGGTCAACAGCGGCGGCGGCGGCGAGTCGGGGGTTAACAGCTCGAAAGGGGGAGCGTCCGTTTCCGCGGCGGTGGCGGCGGCGGGATTGTCAGCACCGGCGCCGGACTTTTCTCCGTCCTCGACGACGGCGACGGCGACGCCGCCGACACCGCCGCTGTCTACCGCTACTACTAGCGCCGCCGCCGCTGCCGCTGCGGTGACATCGGCCGGGAACGACAGCCCCAGGACGTCGGGACCCTGGGCTTCCGCGGTCACCACGACGCTCACGTCGTGGTCGGCGACGGCCTTGGGTAGGATATCTCCGACCTTGACGAACCGGTTCGTGGCAGCGGGGACAAACCCGGCGGCGGCCCCCGCAACTGCGGCAGCAGCCGCCTCTGCTGCGTGGCTCCCGGACAGCAACAACGGCGCCGTCGGCGGCGGCCACAATGCCGGGCAGCCAAGGATCGGCGAGTTGGCGAACGACGCTGCTGTTGTTGGGAGCAATATTGTTCCGCCCAGCGGCTGTGACACTCTTGGTGGCGGTGTAAAGGCGAACCCCCATTCTGGTGCGGTTGTGGCTGCTGCCAACGGCCAGGCGGCGATTTGTTCAACTCTTGCTCCTCGCGATGCCGCCGCTGTTCCTACCACTGCTGCTGCTGCTTCCGCTGCTGCTGCTACCGTCGTAGGGGCATCTCCTACCCCTTCGGGCTTCGCTGCGAACGTTAGGGCGAGCGCGACGAACGGTCTCAAGGTTGTATTCCGCCGGTCGTAGTGCCGTGTGCCGTGGAAGGTAGCGTGTTTGTGCTCGTGAGCCTGGGAGGAAGGTTATGAGGCGCGCCCCCCCCCACACACCTGGCACACGTATGTACGAGAGTTGGGATCTCCGAATACCCCCTCCCCCCCATGCGGATGGTGGGGCCGGTATTGTTATGTTAGGGCGAAAGCGGTGAGTTGAATTGGTGGAGGGTTGTGTCCTGCTGGCCGTGTGTGGATATCACCATGAGAAACAGTGACAGCATGCACCCCCACGGTTAGGGTGTGGGGTGAGCATTCTCGATGACCCTCAGCTTTTGTCCATGTCTCGAAAAAGGGTCAGAAGAAGAACAGCGATGGAGGCGGAGGGCGGGGGCAAGTAGCTGGTGTTGTGGCAGTGCGTATGGTTATGTGTTTAGACCGACCGGGATGTCGAGGAGCTTATCGTTAGATGCGTAACGATGTTTGCGTGTTTATCACGAGGGCGCTTTTGTACGTGTCCCGTAATGAAAAAAACAGAAATCAAAATTGTGAGCTTTGTGATTAGTGGAATCCTCTACCATGTGTCAACGAAATGTTATTAAAGATGAACAGGAAAGAGGGAAGGGGTCGGGAGGGAGTATTATTAGTAGTAGAGATCAACTGATCGATCGCACGCGTCGAAGCCATCTTCCGCCGTTTTATTTTTCGCCAATTTTTCAATGCCGGGCATTTTGCTGATTGAGTTGATTGGTCTTTATGGATGTGATTGTGCTGTTTCTGTTTTCACGTGTTTTTTGTCCCAGTAAGACAAAACGAAAATCACGTTCATTTAGTGTGAAAAATTGAGTTGGCAATTTCTATTTTTGGGGGGGGGTTGGGGCGGAGTTTTTCGACCGCGTGAGTGAAAAGCGACCGGTTGACTGCTGACAAAAAATGGGCGGTGGTATGCTTACGTACGGGGTGGAAGTTCCGTGTCCCCATCATTGTTTTTCTTTTTGTGTCGTACTTGCGGTAGTAGTAGGATGTTTTTATGCAAGAGTATTCGGGAGGTGGGCTTCGTGACGCCCCATCAACGCTGTTATTTAGGTAGATGTGTGTGCAACAAGCAACGACATTCATTCATCACATCAGACAGCCTCCGCACTCACTCCGCAAGAGCCCCACCAAGCGGATTCTACGGGGCCTCTGTGGGACAGATGGAAAAGGCACGTAGGCACGACGAACGGACCGGAGGACAACAGGTTATGAGCCTCGCCGTTAGACAAAGCTTACCGCGGTAGGCGTGTTTGGCGGGCGGAGGTAGGCGCGCGGGGTGCTTTCGTCGGCAGGTGTTGGTCTGGACAGTGCTGGGGCGAGAGGAGAGGAGCCGTCGATTGTTGTGTAGGGTTCTGGGAAATTTTGGAGGAGGACCTCCTGTACAGGCTACTGCTACTATTACTGCTCTTAGCTCTTTGACGAGTTTCTGCGTTATGTATCCTCTCGTCTTTGTTCTGCATCTATCTATCTGTCTCTGGCCGTGCGTTGGCGTGACCGACGTCGATATTTTGTGTGATGCAGGCATGGCGTTGGGTGTGGATCCGCTTATGCTATTTTTTCTGTGTCCGTCGGATAGGTCAGCCAGCCAGACCACCCTTGAAAAACCTCACGGAGGGTTTGCTTGTTTGTTGGTTGCGGGCGCAACTGCTGTTCATTAATGCTCTTTGTTGTGTCGTCGGTGACTCCGATGCATCATCTTGGGATAGACGGACACAAGCAACAAGCAGCAAGCATTCCGAGCCTAGGGCCTTGGGGTTTGTTTCTCTTCTTGATTGAAATTGTTTTCGAGTGTTCGGTTGGGAGAGGCGCGATCGACCTTTCTTGTTGTTGTTGCCGGTCTTGATGCTATATATGAAGTCCGAGTGTACTGGTAGGAGGGGGATGTGAATGTACGCCCGCCCGTCGGTGGGGCGCTGGTGTGCTGGCATACTTGTATGTCCTGCCATCGGCGTATTTATATGCCGCCATGGACAAGTGTAGGTCTGTCACCACAACAAGGACTTATGTATGTAGGAAATCCTCCTCGATGCGATTGATTCTTTCTTGTCTTTACTCGTGATGGCGTTAGAGAGCATGAGGTTTATTGTTTCATCACGGTGGGAGGGGTGAGAAGGTGGGAGTGCTTTCGGGAAAGGGCACATCCATTCTTGTAGTAATATTACCAAGGAGAGAAAATACAAGATGTTTGTGCATCATGACCTCCTCCGAAGGAAGGGACTACATGCATGCGTACATGATGAATCAGGTGTAAGACGCGAGACGGTGTGGATGATGAACACGCGATGCAAGAAAGTGTGTCGTCCAACGTGCTGCCGTTAGCCACAAATAAATCTTTGTTCGGGGTAAGTTAGCCGAACGCGAATGCCAAATCGAACGCGAACGCTACTACACCGTAAGAGGCGGAGCGATGGCACCCACCCCCGCTACTGACTTTAAGAAGTTCTCGATTGCTCCACTCCACACCCAACGGGGTGCGGAACGTTTTACCATGGTGTAATGGATAGCCCTCGACGAGATGATTCCAAAACCACTAATAATCGACTAAATCGTGGTGGCAAGGTTGGGACATTCTTGGTCGTGGAGAAATGATAATGGAGCTTTGAAAGTCGATCGAGCGGGGTACCCTTCTCCTAATGGGGTAATACTCCTAAAACTACTCTGTACTCTGGAGTACTTCCGTTTCGACGTTTTGTTGTGCGTGGGGTTTCCCTACACATTTATTTACTTACTTGCTGCCTTGATCTTGCTCTTGCCCGCAACACTCTGTGTTTTCTGGGTTTCGAGCGTGCCGAATCTGAGCAGTCTAGATACTAGAGACTGGTTGGAGGGTCCGAACGCACTGCAACGCACCCATATGCAGTTGCATCATCACCAACCAAATTGTTGACAAACCCGTTCACTTCATGCAAGCAAGATACTTGGCCTACATACACAATGCTCACATCGTTCATCAAGTAAGTTAATGTATCAAGCACCTCCTCTTCAGCGCATGGTCATGTTATCCAGCCTCTCAACGATTAAGTATTGCTCAGCTCTCTCTCTCTGCGCGTGTGGAAGGAATGTGCGTGGTGGTATCATGCCGACACTGCACAGCACGCTACGTACGTGATCGCGTACGCCACCCGCCTGACCGCTCCGTTGTGCCATTATGTAACTTGTTGTGTGTCCCGATACATGTGATACGCATAGATGATGCACCGAGAGCCCGGGGGGCGGAGCTACTACTGCTGTAGGAGGTCGACGGCCAGTTCGTGAAGCTTGCAGTAAGGCGTGAGGTGCCGTGAGGGACACAGAACATCGTGGAGCAGTGTGACTACCGAGGATCACGGCCACGAGCGTTGACAACACAACGGCCGGTTTCGCGGTTCACAGTTTTTCCGTTGCGGGTCACGGGGTTTCCGTCCCATGAGCAGGATCTCGTACGCGTGTCCCACCCCTTTCCCGATATTTTTTTCCTGTTGCCGTCAAGCGTCCCCCCTCAGGACGAAAAAAGCTGCCCCGTCTCCATCTCTGGGAACGACTGGCTTGTTTTGTGCCAGCCCTCCCTCGAGTCTAGCTGCGCTGGGTGTGGCTGGCCAACGAAGGGCTGTGTGGAGGCTTGGGCAGAGAGAAGCCGGGTCGCCTGGCGTCAAAACGAAAGGTATACATACCCTTGCGTTGTTGAACAAGGCCAACAACACATCAAACGTGTAACAGCCGATTTTCTCCTCTGCTGCTGTACAATTAGGGTTCGTTCGCGACCGCGTCATCGACTCTGTCTTGAGCCCTGGCTTCGGCTGGTCGCTTTTCTTGGCGTTGACGCTCGTGTGGGGACGCAAGTCGATGCACGCGTACGTGTCTCGGTTTGCCACCCGCGCATTCTATGTGTGTTTTTCGCGAGTCACCGAGAGAGTGTGTGCGGCCCTATCGCTCCTCTATGCTCGCCAGACTCGCGCACGTGCGTTGAGCTGCTAGTTGGTAGCACAGCAGCCTGCTTGCGCGCCTCCACGGCCCAGTGGTGCATACCCAGCACAACAAGCGTACCGCGCTTGGTGTGCATCTAGAATGATGTCCTGAATTCCGCCGTTGCTGTACACCCGAAGCAAGGCAATACATACCCACGACACACCACGAGAAACAGACGTCAGCGGCTCTAAAATGCACGTGTACCGCGCGACCTACCCGTACATCGCCTCATCTCTGAGAATTGCAGCAGCAAGGAGGGGGAATTGGGCAAGGCGGGTGTTGGGCGTATGTTCCATTCCCTTGCCCCGTGGCACTACCCACTTCCTGGTGGCGTTGTCGAACGAAAGGTCTCGGCCTCTCGACGCTGCTTGATCCACTCCCCGTTTGCCTTCAACTGAAAAAAAAACTCTCGTGCTCTTTCCGCCTCTTGGATGGGTCAGCGGATCCCGTGCGGTTCGATATGTGCATCCGTCTTGTAGCATACCAACAGGACGACCGTTCGTGTGTTTAGACTATCTAGCTCTGGGCGCTGGGGTCGTGAGCTTGCTTTCCGTGTGGCATACCGCCCACAATTCCGCTGGCGCACAATATTGCCAAAACACCACGTTCGTTCGTCCATGGAAAATCGAAGTCGAGCGTTTGCGGCGTGACGTGGGATACCACCTACCTGACTTTCCTCCAATATGCTACAACCACACGCTTGTATCTTTGCCGACGTAAGGGTTGTAGCACACATGGAATTATATTTTGCAACGATTGGGAACCGAAAGGCGAGGCGACCAACCAGAGGACAGATATTCTGCTGCATGGGACCCCGGCTACACAGAGGTAGTGAGTTTACATACGAGCGTACCAGCTCTTGTAGGCAAGACACCTTACGGCGACAGCGGTGACGTGTTTCATGATAATATAAGAAAAAAAAAAAAGAACGATAACGTGGTGTTGTTCAGGTCTTCCACCTCGTATAGGTACGTACGTCTGCTGGGCTGCTTTAGAGGTCACCAAAGGCTCGCAACTCAAGTGCTGTGTGCGCGTGCTTACGAGCCTACTTGTCTGCTGCTCTTGGTGTGTGCAAGTTCATATTAGTTTTTGCGTCATGCGTATGCTTATGTATGCATCCGAACGACCACACGTTTGTGTGCCGCGGGTTGCATAGAGGATACCGCACCCGCTGGAATAATTTTCAAAGCTCGATTACTCCGCAGCAGAAACGGCAGTGACAGTGCCGACTATGGCGGCATTGGAATTGCTGTCTCGTCGAGTGCAATCCGACTACAACATAGTACGTGTCATTTGATATATGTACATGCTTGGTATCCATCTTCTATAGGAGTAATGCATCGTTTGTATTGAATTCCAGACGGGGTGTGGTGTCTCACGCAACATGCGGCAAGAACGTGATGTGGACGTTGGAGAGGTGGGTGAGCGACTCCGAATCAGCTGCTCCGAACATTGATACTACATCCTCCGTCCTCTTCGCGTACGTACTCAATCGCGTACACGTCAACTACATCCTACTTACACAGCAGTGATTTATTTTTCGTCTTTTTCTCTCGTGTCAGCACATAGATACATAACCGGGAGTCCAGACCAGTGACGACGAGACGACGTTGTTCCTCTTTCCTACCCTCTCCCTCTCTCGTCCTTTCAATGTGTGCACGCGCATGTCTCTGTCTCCGGTAGAGTGCGGATGAAATCTTGCGGCACAGATGGACTAATCGAGTTGTTTTTACTGCAGGGCGAGTGCTTGCTGCAGGGCGGGTAAATCCGCCTGGCACTAACCGCGCTATGCTGTAGATTGTCCACGACTCTACCCTCCAACCGTTTCCAGTCATTGCGGCTTGTGCCGTGCATTAACAAATGCATAGATCGATGGGACGAACACACACACGACAAACACAAGTGCCCGCTTGCCTCTATCAATAACCAATACCGGTAATAGCTGTGCTCGTGCGCACACGTAGTCCTCGCATATGCCGCGAGGCTTTCCTTTTTTGACGGCGGATAAAGGCACAGGGGAAAACATGAACCAATGCGGCCTTGCTTGGACCGAGTACCAAAAACCGTTCTTCGGTCACTGTCCAAAACGTCGACCAACATCTGCATTCTATCCACCTGGGACCTCCTCCTCCCTCACCCGCGCTCTGCCGCTCGCAATATTTTTTGCAGGTTTTGAGAGTGTGGGACGGCGTGGCAAAGCAGAAGGGCAGGGCTGCTAGGCTGCTACCGCTCTAGCCGCCGCCTCTCCCCCTCCCGGCTAGCGTCGCGCGCGCGAAACGAAATATGTTGGACCGCAGGCGGTTGTCCTCGATGGCCGAGAGCGTCGACGGCGAGGGGGGCGGCGGGCGCGCCGAGCGCAAGCAGCGGGAGGAGGAGCGGCAGGAGGACCCGCGGCTGCACCTCCAGCAGGAGGAGCTGAAGGAACAGCTGGAGCAGCTCAGCATGCAGCAGGAGCGGCAGCAGCTGGAGCACCTGAGGGAGCTCCACGAGCAGGAGCAGCAGCTCGAGCAGCAGCAGGAGCGACTCCGGCTGCGGCAGCAGCTGCCGGGCCACCAACCACAGCAACAAGAGCGACAACCGCAACCGCGAATACAACCGCTATCGCAACGGCGACCACCAGCTCCCCCGAGACAACAGCGGCAACCCACTGCGGAGAGATTGACCAGATCGTCCGGTGGTGGTGGCGGCGGCGGCGGTGTTGACAGCCGGAGGCGTTTCTGGAGGCGGCTGTGCTTCTGGGTGGGGGCTATCGCTTGTCTCATTCTCCTTGTTCTGGTCCAGGTATGTAACGGACGAAATCACGCAGCACAGATCGTTACTGCCGCTTTTGCTCGTTAAAATGTGCCGTGGGCTCGCTGGTCGGGCATATACCGGAACCTGAAGCTCCCCTTTTGCACATAGGTCATTTTGCCACTCTTTGTCCGATGGTTCAAGGTTGGCAATGTCACGTCTTCGTGCTGGGGGTCGGGGACTTGGGCACATCGTGTTGCGATGTGATGCGGAATGCGGTGATGTGATGTGGAATGCGGTGGTGTGATGTGGAAATGCGTGTGCTCGATTTGTTCGTTGGTTCTTGCACACCTTTATGAGTACTCTGCCATTTTTGCGTCGAGTATTGCAGGGGCGGCTGTTTTTGGGTGTTGTCTCGTTCTTCTCCCTCGGTGACTGGCTTGGTTTGGCGTACCCACCTCCGTTGAAAGTCTCACGCTCCGTCGTTTTCTGTGAGCAAGCGTTTACCCGAAACGTCACTCGTCCTTTGTCCGCTCCTCCATCCTCGTTCTCCTGCATCGACTCGCAACACCATTTAGATCTACCCGCCCCTTCTGGTGAAGGAGAAGGCCCCGCCGGCCTTCTTCATCTTCCCCAAGAGCACGAAGAGGCTCAAGTTCTTGGGCATGGCGGTTGACCTGGACGACATCCCTCTCCTCAAGGCGGCGCTTGCCAAGATGCCGAACGTCCCGCGGCTGGACATCCCGGGGATCATTCGCGCGCTCTGGAACTGCCTCCCTTCGATGGCCGCCTGGCTCGAGGCCTTCGGGAACATCTTCGACGGCACCTCGGTCTTCCTCGCCGAGATGTGGACGGACAGGCTGACTCCCGTGCTCCGGGACATTGCCGCCGGGGTGCGGGGCATGCCCGGGATGGTGCGCGGCTTCTTCATCTCGTTCCACAACGCCTGGTGGCCGGTTGCGCTATCCGTCTGGGGAGCGTTCTGCGGGAGCCTGGGGTCCCTCGCGGCCTCCCTCTGGGGCCGCGCCCGCGCCGTTCCCCCGCTCTTCCTTGCCCTGCTCCAGGCCTTCGGCGGCGTGCTCGAGGGCCTGCCGTCGCTGCTGCTGCTGGTGCTGCGGCGCGCCCTGGTGCGGCTCTCGGGCAAGCTCCACTCCCTCCTGGGCCTCCTGGTTCTCGGCGCCGGTTACCTGGGCCAAGGGTTGGCGTTTCTCGGAGGCCTCGCCTGGCGCGGGGCGGGCCACGTCGGGAGCCTGTTCCTCTCCCTCGGACACGTCGCCGCCTACCTCGCCGCCTGCCTGGCGCAGCTCCTGTCCTTCGCCGGCGTCTCGGTCGGGGTCCGCATCGGCCTCCTGAGGCAGGCGTTCGTGGCCCTGGGCCTCTGGACAGCCCGCGGCCTCAGCTACGTCTGGCAGGCGGTCATCTTCCTCGGGATAGTCACCGGGCGCGGCCTCGGCCACCTCGGGAAGGCCTTCTACGCCCTCGGCGGGGAGAGCCTGGAGGGCCTCTTCTCGTCCGCCGGGATACTGATGGACAGCCGGTTAGGACTCCTGTTGGAAGCTCTCGCGACCCTCGGAGGCCTCGGCGTGGCGACGGTTGCCGGCGGGTTATCGTTCGTGGGCGAAACCGTTGGGGGATTCTTGGGCCTCTTTGGGCTCGTCGGGGTGGGCGCGGCAAGGGTCGGGTCCTTTGGGGCGGGGTTGTTCCGGGGAGTCTACGGGATTGTTGCCGCGATCGAGTGGACATTCTGGCCGGTGGTGGCGCTCGTGGCGTCGATTATCGCGCTCATCATGTCGGGCGCGTGGTGGAGGTCGTCCAGGGTGAGCGACGGGGGCGGGGGGATAGCGTTGCGCCGCAGTTTTTTTTTTGTCGTTGGTGCTATTGTTAATAGTGTGGCGATAGGCGTTGCTGTTGATTATGTTTTCCTTTCCCTCCCACCCCCTCGAGTTTCAGTCGTGCTTGATCATTCAACCCATACTCGTCGGTGTGTTTTCTGTTTTTTCCCCCCTCCAGGACTGTATTGCTTTGTTTGTAGCCAACCATGACCAAGCAACTCATATCGCTGTCACCCCCGCACCCCCCATGTGGTGTTTTCTCCTGTCCCCCCCCCCTAGACTGCTGCATTGCTAGCGGCAAAGGCAATGGCGGCGGAGAACGAGTTTGCTGCTGCCCGTCTCTCGGCGGCCCTCAACAGAGAGAGCGTCAAGACGGCGGACAGAGCAGCTGCGAGGGCGAGGACGGCGGCTGCGGCGGCGACGATGAGAGCGGAGGCGGCGGAGAGGGCGAAGCGGCACTTGGAACGGTGTGTGTGTAACGAGAGGGGGGGAGAGAGAGAGAGAGAGACTGAGGCAGAGACTGAGGCAGAGACTAGTGCGTGGAACGGTTAGTGTGACAGGGAGAAAGAGACAGAGTGAGGCAGAGATTGTTACTTGGAACGGTTTGTGTGCATGGCAAGACAGAGTGAAGGACAGAGACAGGAACTTAACATTTGAACGGCGTGTGTGACAGGAGAGAGAGAGAGAGAGAGAGAGAGAGAGAGAGCAACGACCATGAATCCCGCCCCCAATTTGTTACGATTGAGCATTCTGTTCCATGTTTCTTATGTGAGTGCACGCATTTTCTTTGTTCCTCACCCCCCCCCCCCCCCTTCATTAGGCTCTCTGTCGCAAGCGTGGAACGCCCCAGCGGCGGAACACGCAGCAGCAGCGGCGGCGGTAGGGAGGCCGGCGGGCGGGTCTTCCGGAGGCACTCGTCTGCTGGCGTGCCCGGCAGCCTCTTCATGATGGAGGACGAGGCCGACTCCGCGGGGAGCAGCAGCAGCAGCAGCAGCAGCAACGCCGGCGAGGAGCACAAGAGTACCGCCAGCGGTAGCGGCGGCGGCGGCGGCAGCGGCAGCAGCGGCGGCGGCGGCGTGAGCGGGATGATAAGGCGGGCGTTGTTTGGGGACGACGAGGGGTCGGAGAAGAAGTCCTCTCGCGACGACGATAATGACGACGACAACAGCGCTGAGGGCGGGAGGCACAGCAGGAGCAGCCGTGCCAGTGTCGAGGATAGGTTGCTCAGCGGTGTCAGCCGTGGTGGTGTCGACGACAGGAGGCTCAGCGGTGTCAGCCGTGACGGCAGGAGGATCAGCGGCGTTCACGGTGAGGACAGGAGACACAGCGGTGTCAGCCGTGCCAGCGTTGACGACAGGAGGCTCAGCGGTGTCGATCGTGAGGGCAGGTTGCTGAGTGGTATCGACGATGTCAGCGCTGAGGACAGGAGGCTCAGCGGTGTCAGCCGTGCCAGCGTTGACGACAGGAGGCTCAGCGGTGTCGGTCGTGAGGGCAGGTTGCTCAGCGGCATCGACGATGTCAGCGTTGAGGACTTGAGGCAGAGCGGTGTCAGCCGTGCTAGTGTGGATGACAGGAGGCTCAGCGGTGTCAGCCGTACCGATGCGGAGGACAGGTTGCTTAGCGGTGTCAGCCGTACCGATGCGGAGGACAGGTTGCTTAGCCGTGCCAGTTTGGACGACAGGAGGATCAGCGGTGTCAGCCGTGCTGATGTTGAAGACAGGATGCTCAGCGGTGTCAGCCGTGCTGATGTCGGGGACAGGAGGCTTAGCGGTGTCAGTCGTGCTGATGTTGAAGACAGGATGCTCAGCGGTGTCAGCCGTGCTGATGTCGAGGACAGGATGCTCAGCGGTGTCAGCCGTGCTGATGTGGAGGGCAGGATGCTCAGCGGTGTTAGCCGTGATGGCAGGCTGCTCAGCGGCATCCACGGCGAGGACAGGAGGCACAGTGGGGTCAGCCGTTCCAGTGTGGAGGACAGGTTGCTCAGCCGTGCCAGTGCTGAGGGCAGGATGCTCAGCGGTATCGACGACGTCAGCGTGGAGGACAGGATGCTTAGCGGTGAGGACAGGAAGCTCAGTCGTGCCAGTGTTGACGACAGGATGCCCAGCGGCGTAAGCCGTGCAAGCGGTGGTAGCGCCAGCGGTAGCGGCGGCGAGGACAGAAAGCTCAGTGGCGTTAGCCGCGGTAGCGGCGGCAGCGCGGAGGGCAGGATGCCCAGCGGCGTCAGCCGTGCGAGTGCTGGCAGCCTCGGCGGTGGCAGTGGCGAGGGCAGGAAGCTCAGCGGCAGCGGCGTCGGCGACCTCAGCGCCGAGGACAGGATGCTCAGCGGAAGCGTAGAGGGCAAGGTGTTCGGCGGGGGCGTCAGCGAGGACAAGCAGCTCGGCCGTGTCAGCGGCGTTAGCAGCGTCGAGGAACGGATGCTCCGCGGTGTGAGCGGCGTCAGCGTTGACGACAGGATGCCCAGCGGCGTCAGCCGCGGCAGCGGGGGAAGCGGTGTCACCAGCGGCGCCGGCAGCGAAGCGGGAGCGGCGGCGGACATGTGCGACATCGTCGAGAAGACGGCGGCGGCGGCGGCGGCGGCGGTGGCGGGAGCGATCGCGGTGGCGAGGAGCCTGGACAGTCAAAGGTCTGGCGCGGCCCCGGCTCCTGTCCCTAGCCCTGACGTGGACGCTGCCGCCGTTGTGGCCGCGGCCGCCTCTGTTGGCTCAGTGGGCAGGAGACAGAGGCAAGACATGAGTGGAATATGACTGCACAGCGTCTAGTTGCATTGAGTGACACGCTTTGATTTGTTTATTTTAAGGAGTAGCGAGCAACAAATCCTTGCTGCTGCTGGTTGCCCTCCGTCGAGCACGTTTTATTCGATATACCTGACCGTTTTGTGGCCGATTTCATCACATTTCGCAATCAGAGCCCGAAACAATGCTGTAGGAGGCATCAGGTCGGCCGCAAGTGTTTCGTGCCCTTTCACAATTGTACTGAATTTAATGTACTGCAGCGTTCTCTTTTTTTGTGTGTTCCGGCGCTACAGTCTATCGCACCTTTTGGTGCATTTGTTTGATGTTTCAGCCGAAGTCATGCAGGAGGAAGGTATCCCACATCGGAGATGTTTTTGGAATATAAAACGGGTCCGGCTCGCTCCTGCGTTGCTATTTGGCTTTCTGTTCGTTGTAGCCGACAAGGGACAGCAGTTGCTGCATACCACACGAACTGACGTATTCCGGCTGCCACAAGGAAACAAGTGGGGAATTACAGTTGGCGTGTCGTTGTTTCACCCGCTCTTTCTTTGTGGCAGGCAAGAGAGCAAGGAACAACAAGCTCACGAGCAGGAGCAAAAGCAAAAGCGACGGCAGGACGACCACGAATCAGGGGCAGAGTGCCAGCAGCAGCAGCAGCAGCAGCAGCGACACGCTCGACGCGCCGCCGGCAAGAAGGTTCCGCTGACGGCGGACATGACTGTGGCGGAGCTGAACCGCAGCCTCACTACCGGACAGAGGCGGCGCACCAGCGGGCTGTGCAGGTACGGTACGGTACGGTACCGGCTAGGGATTATGGGTGGGTTGGGGCAAAAGCCGAAAACACTGTACTTAAACCGGTTTTCTCGTCAACCGTGGTACTATATATGATATTTTTTTCTTGCGGGGACAAGCCACTTGTACCCTCTTGAATCCGTACGTTCTCTTCGCGAACCGTAGCCGCTATTGCCGTAGTGCCTTTTTTTTTTACACTCCCACTTGGTGCCATAGGGTTCCAGTTCCACAGCGATATCAAGAGGGGCGTTACTTGTTTTCCTGCCGATTCCTGTCCCGGACTGTTGTGTTGCGTTCACATGTATCCCCTCCTTTTTTTTCTTTCCATAACACAGCGAATCCGTATCTATCCACAGATGCTGATGTGGTTGTTGTACTCACCTTGAAAACCCTGCCGGTTTCTGAAGATAAATTATTGGCAATGAATCCATTGCGTATCGCCTGTTTTTTATTTGCTTGCCGCAGACGCATCGCTGGTCTTGGGAGGGTGGACCTGCTCCGCTGTGCCGTGGAGAACGGTTGCGTGATGGACGAAGGGACGTGCCGGAGCGCCGCGCTTAAGGGACACCTCGAGGTTTGCTGCTGTTGCTGGTATTATAGTGGTGCTCGTGGTTGTTGTTGTTGTTGTTGTTGTTGTTGTTGTTGTTGTTGGTCGGTGATGGAGGCTGTGCGTAATGGTAGTTGTCGTGTCGTTTTGTTGGTGTTGGTGGTGTTGGTGGAGGCTTTGCTTAGTGTTGTTCTCGTGCCGTCTGTGTCGTTGTTGTTGGTGGTGATTGAGGCTGTGCTTGCTGTTGTTGTCATGGCCATGTTGTTGGTGGTGAGGGCGCAGGCTGTGCGCAGTGTTGTCGTCGTTGGTGGCGGTGGTGGTAATGGAATCTGTGCCTAGTGTTGGTTGTCGTTTTCATGCTGGTGTTTTAATTGTTGCGTTTGGCCTGCCAAGAGGTGTTAGCGGTGGTACACGTGGTGGTGGTGATTGTGTTGGCGTTCTCGTCGTCACTCGCACATGCATTTCCGCTACATATTCTCCTCGTGCGTTGTAGGGTCCGTCCGGGAGAGTTCATTCCGCGGTGTAGTCTAGATGCCCCGCCCACACAACCAAGACTTTTTTGTGTTCAGTTCTCTACGCTGTTGGATATGATAGCGAGGTCTTCGGTTCTCCCGACGTTTTTGACCACATCTACAGAGTCTTTTGGTGTGCTCGGCATCAAGAGTGGACAAGAAAGCAGCAGAAAACACGCACAGAAGGAACGCAAATCACCCAGAACAGTGCAATACTTGTCCAAGGACTTTTGCGCGCGTGTTTTGTCCAGCAACATCGTCCGGTGGTCGTCCGAGGACAACTAACTAACTAAATGCTTTGAGGTGTCCGAAAACAGCTACCCCCTGTTGAGCTAATTCCGCGACAATAACCCCCACACACCCTCCGCCCTCTCTCGAGGACGCGTGGTCAATGGTCTAACCGCTAAGGCATACAAAACGCCCCCGTCCCCCGTCCCCCGTCCCCCGTCCCCCGATCCAATACCATCTGTTTCGCACAGCTGCTACAGTGGGCAAGGGCGAACGGCGCCCCCTGGAACAGCGAGACTTGCACCGATGCCGTCCGCGGCGGGCACTTGGACATCTTGCAGTGGTTGCGCGCTCACGGCTGCGAATGGGACAGGTGGGACCAACGACGGGAGGGAATTGGGGGGGAAGAGTTACTGGCGTATCCATGTGCATGTCGTAGTCGGTAGGTCGTAGACCTCGCATCCGTCTAATGTGGGGACGGAGCGATTTCGCCGGCCCAGGCTATCACATCACAAGGATGAAGCAGAAGCTGCTGTGTCGTCCTTGCGTTTGTTGCGCCAAAAACACAGGGGAGGGGGACTGTTGTGCGGGGCCTTTCTGGGTGTTGGGGTCACGGTTGAGGGTATTGGTCGCTTTTGCATGTCGTCCGTCTTTGTATTCGGACCACAGTTTGGTTGCAAATTCGAGTCGCTGCTGCTGTGGTTGGTCCCCGTTGTCTCGACGTGTCGATTAGAGACACCGTGGAGAGTGCAACCCCCCCCCCCCCTCGTGATGTCGATAGGAAAGATGGGCTAGGGACACCGTTTTTGAGCCGCCTTTGGCAAAGTAGGAAGGAACGATTGGCCATCGGTGATCGATCCTTTGGGAAAAATACTCCGTCCTCTAGAGGAAGCATGGCCAATCGTCGAACCGCTAAGGTGTGCAAAACATAAGAGTACGCCCCCCAGCCCCCCCCCCTCCCCTCATCGTGTCCGACGAAAACCTATGCGTAGGTCGACATGCGGGAGCGCTGCGGCGCGAGGTCACCTCGAAATCCTCAAGTGGGCCAGGAACCACGGGTGCGAGTGGGACGAGACCACGTGTAACAACGCCGCCATCAACGGCCACCTCAAAGTCCTCCAGGTGTGTGTGCAATGTCATGCCATAACAATCTATTAGACTACGGTATTCCACGTGTGTGTACCGCCGTAGGTGACACAAGATACCACGCCCCCTGGACCCTGGACCGATTTTCAAAGCTCGATTTCTCCACCGCAGAAGCGGTGGCGGTGTCGAAAAAATGGTGGCGTCGGAACCGTCTTGTGGAGAGCTTTCGAAAACGTATCGTTTGGCTCATACAGCCTCTTCCTCGTGGAGTAGAGGAGCTGTGAAAACTAGAATAGATACAGGGGGTGTGATATCTCGTGTCACCTACGGTAGGTTTGTACTTCAACGCTGGACTACCGTTCTACGTGAGTTGCGTGTTATGCGTCAACGCCCTGGACCGATTTTCAAACCTCGAACTGTTGTGTACGCTTTTGAGAGTTTTTTGCTGTTGTATGGCGTTGGTAGGGTCAGTGCTTGTGTGTTTCATAAATAGTATCTTCGTAACAGATGTAACGTGCTTTATCCTGCATTTGGTTCATCACAATTTGGATATGCTCACTTGCAGCAACTCCCAATCCCTCGTGTGTGTTGTGTCTTGGCTGAAATAACTATTCTGATACGTCGATCGATCGGCGTGCTGTATCTGCTTCCAGTGGCTTCGCTCGAACGGGTGCCCCTGGGACAGCTACACCTGCAGCAGCGCCGCCGGCATGGGTCATTTCGATGTGGGTGTCGACTTTGTTGTGCATTTTTGGTTTGTGTGCCTGTTTTTTTTCGTGGTGGTGGTACTTGGGGAGTGTGTGTGTGTGCTGTTTTAAGCGCGTGTGCCCCTGCGGCTTCACAAGTATTTACTGCCCAAGCGCCTGTGTGTGTTATTTTCAGTAGTGTGATAGCGTTTGCGAAGGTATCAAGCTTTTGGTGTGAAATGTGTGGGTTGAGGGGTAGGGTTAGGGTTTCGAACCTCCCCCCTCTACTTCATTATCCTCACCAAGACGAAGGCGGCCCGTTATTTTATTTGCCGCGACCGTGCAAGCCGGCAGGCCAGTTCATAGAAACACCCCCAAGACTCTGCCGAGCCGCAACCCTTAAGAATCATGGCTTGGTCCGCGGCCCACGACGCTGCCGACGTTGGTCCTGACGCTCGCCAAGTATTGGTGCCGAGAGGAGGCTACGGCAACTGCGGTGTTCCGTCTCGTCGAAAACGGGATTACATGCGTGCCCGATCACCGAAGGCAAGCAGCCATTTAGACCCCCCCCCCTTCTCTGTCCCGCGCCCCCCTTCCTACACCTTGCTGTGGTATCCGAAGATCTTGAAATGGGCGCGAGCGAACATGTGCCCTTGGAACAGCGACACCTGCGGAAACGCGGCTAATGGGGGTCACCTGAACATCCTGCGATGGGCAAGGTATGGCCAATTTTTTTTCTCCGTTTTTTTTGTAGACACATGCATGCACGCATCATCGCCGCTTTGAGAACTGAGCAATGTTGAGACTGGGGGATCTCTTTGTAGAAGATACCAATTGGAAGATGCTCCCTGTGTCCACTGCGGTTTGTATGTACTCCGAAGTTTTTTTATGTGCAAGTATGTTTTGCATGGGTGTCGTGTTCACGATGTCCGGAATGTGTACGTGTGTGAATGTGTGTGTGGTGTTATGTTGTTGCCTTTGTTCGTCTTTGCTCTCTCACATTGCGTCTCACACGTCAGTTACTCGACGACTGGACCACCATGACAGCAAACAGTGTGTTCATTGCATCAACGCAGCGATATGCTGGTCACACACACATTGGCCCGTGAACACGCATCCTCTGCGTCAGTTGGACCATTACCGATATTAGAAGAGGTACTGAGTAGCGACCCGAACGATTTTTTATAGGTGAAGACAACAGCACAACAAAATCAACATCAACACGATATTCGACACTAAAAAAGACAAATCGCCATGGCCTGGAGACCCGCTACACCACCATCTGAGCAAGCATAACATAAGCGCCACGACATGCTGGTCACACGATTTTCGATGCTAAAAAAACGAAATCACCTCGGCAGGGAGAACGGCTGCGACTGGGACGAGTCTACCTGTGCGAGTGCGGCGGTAGACGGCCACCTGAACATCCTCAAGTGGCTCCGACAGAACGCGTGCCCATGGGACGAGACGACTTGCTCCGCGGCCGCTGGAAGGGGCCAGCTGGACGTGTTGGAATGGGCTCTCAACAACGGGTGCGTGTGTGATGAGTTGCGTGACTGGACGGTTTGCTTTCGTCCCTGCTGCTTGCGGTTGTCGTTGTTGTTTGGGCTTGTCCCACGTCATCTCTTGTGCTTGATGAAACGACCGCACAGCTGCGCGAACTGCTACCCTGCATCTTGCCCAAGCAGATGAATAGAAATCGCAGCGGTTTTGGAGAAGCAAGACGGGGAGGGCAAGCTGAGTCATGTTATCGATACCATCACTTAATTACCTGCGCCGATCTAAACTTGCGACCAAGGATATGGCGTCAACCAATCAAACGTCAACGCCCACTTCTTCAGACCCAGTGGTGGTCGAGGCCCCTCAGTGGTGCCGTCTCGTGCCCAGCCGGTATAGATCACCATTGCTCACGGCCCCCTGAACATTTTTTTCCGTTTCAGAGTACGGAGGAGCTTGTTACTAAATACCATCTGTTGTTGCCAAGCGATTCCACCGCCGTTGTTGAATGCACCGGCAGTCTTCAAGTGGCACTGCTGGAGCCCCTTGACTGCGAAGAAGAGCACCTATCCGCCAAAACAAGGGGCCGGTTTTATTGTAACTAAACGATGAACCGACCACCTACAAATGTGACCGACCGTATCAAAACCAGCGGGAAGAGTTGTTTTGGGCACGGTGGGAGCAAATGAATTTCGCTCGAGGAACAAACCAAATAAAATCAACTCAACTCACGGTAGCAAACCATCTTACCCAACGTCCAACACGCGAGTTAAATCAAGACCAAATTACGCCAACCAAAGCAGGTCACCAATCAGAGTTAACGTGGCGAACCAATTCAACCCCACAAAAGAGCAACCAATCTGTCCGCCCGAATGTCGCGAAGAACGAACTTCCCACCCAACCGATCAGACACACCCTCTCAATCCGGGGGGGGGCGCAGGTGCGAATGGGACGAGGAGGCGTGCAGCAGCGCGGCGGCGGGGGGGCACCTCTTCGTGCTCCAGTGGCTGAGATACCACGGGTGCCCGTGGGACTCCAGGACGTGGAAGAGCGCCGCTGCGGAAGGTCACGAGGACGTGGCGCACTGGGCGAAGGTCAACGGCTGCCCGCGGTAGTCGCCTACTGCTGTAGCAGTGCTGCTGCTGCTGCAAGCATGACGAGGTGGTCATGCGTGTGTGTTCCTCACACCCAACAGAGAGATAGATAGAACTGGTGGGGGGTATACTGCTGTAGTGCAGCTGCAACTGTGATGAGGTGGTCATGCGTGTGTGGGCCTCACGCACCCGACGGAGAGATAGATAGACCGTGTGGGTGGTGATTGGTGGCATTTATTGGCCGCGCGCGTTGTTGTTTGTTGAGGGAAGGCAGGCCGCCGGATGTGTGATAGATGACATCGGTTGGCCACGCGCGTTGCTTGTTCAGCCACCACCTGGAACGACGCTGCAGCGATAAGCGGTGTCGACAACGAGGGAGGGGATTCTTAGCTTGCTTTGATCGCGGCTGGGGATAGGAGAGGCAGCTGTGGCGTGCCCTCCCACTTGTTCGTCCTTCCTTCCTGGTGCTCTCCTCGGGGGGAGGGGGGGGGGGGGGGGGGGGGGGCCCAAAACAGGGGGGGGGGGGGGGGGGGCGTTTTTTGGGGGGGGTTGGGAAAAGAAAAAAAGGGGAAACCCCGGGGGGGGGAGGGGGTTTTGTTTTGGGGGAAGGCTTTTTGGGGGGCCAAATTGGAAAAGGGGGGAAAAGGGTTTTCGTTTAAAGGGGGGGTTTTTAAAGGGGGCCCGCGATCCCGGAACTTTAAAATTTCCCCCCCGGGGGGGTTTG